TGCCCAAGGCCACATTGAGCTATAATTCACAACTAGTCCTGTCTAATGCAGATACTAATGCATTTAATCAAATGTTGTTCTGACTATTCTATGCTGCCCTTAATTCTCAGAATAAGCTGTACTGTCAATCAATATTTAGAATTTATTTGAATTCTTAAAATTAAGTTATTAAAATGCAATAAAACTGTTTATTCTTTGTAGACATTTATAATGGAAATTCTGGACTAGAAGTCAAGAGATTTACTTAGTTATAATTTTGAGCAAATAATATTTCTATCCTTATTCTGCAGATCTTTAAATAAATGGTCGTAGTTATAATTTTGAGCAAATAATATTTCTATCCTTATTCTGCAGATCTTTAAATAAATGGTCGTAGTTATAATTTTGAGCAAATAATATTTCTATCCTTATTCTGCAGATCTTTAAATAAATGGTCGTAGTTATAATTTTGAGCAAATAATATTTCTATCCTTATTCTGCAGATCTTTAAATAAATGGTCGTAGTTATAATTTTGAGCAAATAATATTTCTATCCTTATTCTGCAGATCTTTAAATAAATGGTCGTAGTTATAATTTTGAGCAAATAATATTTCTATCCTTATTCTGCAGATCTTTAAATAAATGGTCGTAGTTATAATTTTGAGCAAATAATATTTCTATCCTTATTCTGCAGATCTTTAAATAAATGGTCGTAGTTATAATTTTGAGCAAATAATATTTCTATCCTTATTCTGCAGATCTTTAAATAAATGGTCGTAGTTATAATTTTGAGCAAATAATATTTCTATCCTTATTCTGCAGATCTTTAAATAAATGGTCGTAGTTATAATTTTGAGCAAATAATATTTCTATCCTTATTCTGCAGATCTTTAAATAAATGGTCGTAGTTATAATTTTGAGCAAATAATATTTCTATCCTTATTCTGCAGATCTTTAAATAAATGGTCGTAGTTATAATTTTGAGCAAATAATATTTCTATCCTTATTCTGCAGATCTTTAAATAAATGGTCGTAGTTATAATTTTGAGCAAATAATATTTCTATCCTTATTCTGCAGATCTTTAAATAAATGGTCGTAGTTATAATTTTGAGCAAATAATATTTCTATCCTTATTCTGCAGATCTTTAAATAAATGGTCGTAGTTATAATTTTGAGCAAATAATATTTCTATCCTTATTCTGCAGATCTTTAAATAAATGGTCGTAGTTATAATTTTGAGCAAATAATATTTCTATCCTTATTCTGCAGATCTTTAAATAAATGGTCGTAGTTATAATTTTGAGCAAATAATATTTCTATCCTTATTCTGCAGATCTTTAAATAAATGGTCGTAGTTATAATTTTGAGCAAATAATATTTCTATCCTTATTCTGCAGATCTTTAAATAAATGGTCGTAGTTATAATTTTGAGCAAATAATATTTCTATCCTTATTCTGCAGATCTTTAAATAAATGGTCGTAGTTATAATTTTGAGCAAATAATATTTCTATCCTTATTCTGCAGATCTTTAAATAAATGGTCGTAGTTATAATTTTGAGCAAATAATATTTCTATCCTTATTCTGCAGATCTTTAAATAAATGGTCGTAGTTATAATTTTGAGCAAATAATATTTCTATCCTTATTCTGCAGATCTTTAAATAAATGGTCGTAGTTATAATTTTGAGCAAATAATATTTCTATCCTTATTCTGCAGATCTTTAAATAAATGGTCGTAGTTATAATTTTGAGCAAATAATATTTCTATCCTTATTCTGCAGATCTTTAAATAAATGGTCGTAGTTATAATTTTGAGCAAATAATATTTCTATCCTTATTCTGCAGATCTTTAAATAAATGGTCGTAGTTATAATTTTGAGCAAATAATATTTCTATCCTTATTCTGCAGATCTTTAAATAAATGGTCGTAGTTATAATTTTGAGCAAATAATATTTCTATCCTTATTCTGCAGATCTTTAAATAAATGGTCGTAGTTATAATTTTGAGCAAATAATATTTCTATCCTTATTCTGCAGATCTTTAAATAAATGGTCGTAGTTATAATTTTGAGCAAATAATATTTCTATCCTTATTCTGCAGATCTTTAAATAAATGGTCGTAGTTATAATTTTGAGCAAATAATATTTCTATCCTTATTCTGCAGATCTTTAAATAAATGGTCGTAGTTATAATTTTGAGCAAATAATATTTCTATCCTTATTCTGCAGATCTTTAAATAAATGGTCGTAGTTATAATTTTGAGCAAATAATATTTCTATCCTTATTCTGCAGATCTTTAAATAAATGGTCGTAGTTATAATTTTGAGCAAATAATATTTCTATCCTTATTCTGCAGATCTTTAAATAAATGGTCGTAGTTATAATTTTGAGCAAATAATATTTCTATCCTTATTCTGCAGATCTTTAAATAAATGGTCGTAGTTATAATTTTGAGCAAATAATATTTCTATCCTTATTCTGCAGATCTTTAAATAAATGGTCGTAGTTATAATTTTGAGCAAATAATATTTCTATCCTTATTCTGCAGATCTTTAAATAAATGGTCGTAGTTATAATTTTGAGCAAATAATATTTCTATCCTTATTCTGCAGATCTTTAAATAAATGGTCGTAGTTATAATTTTGAGCAAATAATATTTCTATCCTTATTCTGCAGATCTTTAAATAAATGGTCGTAGTTATAATTTTGAGCAAATAATATTTCTATCCTTATTCTGCAGATCTTTAAATAAATGGTCGTAGTTATAATTTTGAGCAAATAATATTTCTATCCTTATTCTGCAGATCTTTAAATAAATGGTCGTAGTTATAATTTTGAGCAAATAATATTTCTATCCTTATTCTGCAGATCTTTAAATAAATGGTCGTAGTTATAATTTTGAGCAAATAATATTTCTATCCTTATTCTGCAGATCTTTAAATAAATGGTCGTAGTTATAATTTTGAGCAAATAATATTTCTATCCTTATTCTGCAGATCTTTAAATAAATGGTCGTAGTTATAATTTTGAGCAAATAATATTTCTATCCTTATTCTGCAGATCTTTAAATAAATGGTCGTAGTTATAATTTTGAGCAAATAATATTTCTATCCTTATTCTGCAGATCTTTAAATAAATGGTCGTAGTTATAATTTTGAGCAAATAATATTTCTATCCTTATTCTGCAGATCTTTAAATAAATGGTCGTAGTTATAATTTTGAGCAAATAATATTTCTATCCTTATTCTGCAGATCTTTAAATAAATGGTCGTAGTTATAATTTTGAGCAAATAATATTTCTATCCTTATTCTGCAGATCTTTAAATAAATGGTCGTAGTTATAATTTTGAGCAAATAATATTTCTATCCTTATTCTGCAGATCTTTAAATAAATGGTCGTAGTTATAATTTTGAGCAAATAATATTTCTATCCTTATTCTGCAGATCTTTAAATAAATGGTCGTAGTTATAATTTTGAGCAAATAATATTTCTATCCTTATTCTGCAGATCTTTAAATAAATGGTCGTAGTTATAATTTTGAGCAAATAATATTTCTATCCTTATTCTGCAGATCTTTAAATAAATGGTCGTAGTTATAATTTTGAGCAAATAATATTTCTATCCTTATTCTGCAGATCTTTAAATAAATGGTCGTAGTTATAATTTTGAGCAAATAATATTTCTATCCTTATTCTGCAGATCTTTAAATAAATGGTCGTAGTTATAATTTTGAGCAAATAATATTTCTATCCTTATTCTGCAGATCTTTAAATAAATGGTCGTAGTTATAATTTTGAGCAAATAATATTTCTATCCTTATTCTGCAGATCTTTAAATAAATGGTCGTAGTTATAATTTTGAGCAAATAATATTTCTATCCTTATTCTGCAGATCTTTAAATAAATGGTCGTAGTTATAATTTTGAGCAAATAATATTTCTATCCTTATTCTGCAGATCTTTAAATAAATGGTCGTAGTTATAATTTTGAGCAAATAATATTTCTATCCTTATTCTGCAGATCTTTAAATAAATGGTCGTAGTTATAATTTTGAGCAAATAATATTTCTATCCTTATTCTGCAGATCTTTAAATAAATGGTCGTAGTTATAATTTTGAGCAAATAATATTTCTACCCTTATTCTGCAGATCTTGAAATAAATAAATGGTTTATATATGGTGATTTTGAAAAGCTCTTCCATCTCAAATTCTAGGATAATTATTTAAAACAGGAGAAATTGCCTTTTTCACAAAAGCAGTAAACTCTGAAGTAAGCAGTCAACTCAAGATTTTTGATGAACAGAAGTACTATGTTAGGAGCAAAATCAAAATGTTTAATGATGTATTTAAATATATTTTGCGACTTGGAATCAACCCAAATGTCCATCAGTGACAGACTGGATTAAGAAAATGTGGCACCCATGGGAACGATAGACGCTATGCGACAAAAAAGAGCCCTGTAGGACATGGAATGACAGCTGGAAACCTCATCTCAGCAAACATATTGCAAGAACAGAAAACCAAACACGCCATGTTCTCACTCATAGGTGGGAACTGAATAATGAGATCACTTGGACTCAGGGAAGGGGAACATCACACACCAGGGCCTATCATGGGAGGGGGAGGTGGGAGGGACTTGCATTGGGAGTATACTGATGTAAATGACGAGTTGATGGGTGCAGCACAGCAACATGGCACAAGTATACATATGTAACAAACCTGCACATTATGCACATGTACCCCTACAACTTAAAGTATAATAATAATAAATAAATTAAAAATAAATAAATAAATAAATAAAATAAATAAAAAATAAAAAAGAAAAAAAAAAAAAATTAATATTTGATTTTTAAAAATAGATATATAATTAACATTATAGTATACTTTCCTGAATTGTGGAAATGTGAGAGAGATAATCTTGGAATTTTGTAAAATATTTCTTTCTTTGTGAGGGAAAACTACACCTAACCATCTCTTTAATAAACAAGGTCTTTATTTATCTTGTAAATCTCTTTTCAGTGCAAACATGCTTAGACAGAGAAGAGATTAACTTCAGTGGCTTCCCACTAATTACAGAGATTAAGAAGTACCTGCCTGAATTATTTTCCAAAGGATACACATTACAAATTATTGCATAGGGGCAGCTCACCAAGAAGATCCTATTGGTTTGGGGGTAAGTAATTCTAAAAGTTATCTTTTCCTTAGAATGTCCCATGAATATGCTTTTCTTGGGAAGTATGGCTCTCTGACTATACCAATCAGTTTTGAGCAGAGCCAATCCATTTATAGCACCTGCAATTTCCAGTGACCTAGATCTGTGGATGACATCTGTCGTTAGTTTGATGACAATGTTGAAAAATAGGTTAGGCTGGCAGATAAGAAGCCCTGCACCCTCTATCTATAAACAATACCACATCCCAAGCTTTTTGAAAACTATCCTGAATTTTGCCTCTCAGCACATCTTGTGGTCTCTTACAGAAAATCCTGGACTATCTGAAGTGGAAGGGACTTTAGATTCGCCACTTCACAAGTATTTTTGTTGTACAGTACTGTGCAAGCCACTCGGGGTACAAAGATGAATAATGAAAGACCTTCTCTCATTATACTCATAGTCTACTAAAAATCATTTCATCTAGTGTCCTAATTTTTTAGCTGGGGAGACTGAGGCCAGAGTGGGGAATGGAGCTGCTCAAGGACACATAATGGGATGAGGCAGGGCTGGGGTAGATCCTGGGTCTCTTGATGCCACTCACATTGTTTCCATTGCATTATGCTTTTCTGTATTGGTTACCTAGTCTTGTCAGGAGGTAATTCTATCTACTTCTCAAAACGTAGGCTGAAATTCTTCTGGAAAGCTCTATTTTTTTTAACGCTAATGGTATGAATGAGAATATTAAGTTAGTGCGTTTTAGCTGCTGTTCTCTCCTGTAGACAGTTCTTCCTAGAATTAGGTTGGTCATGCCCATAAGAAACTCATTTCCTAGAACTTTTAAGCAGAACCTCAGAAGAAATGGGGATTGGGTGCTCCCACTGCCCCCCATACTTCCCTCAGCTCTTTGATATCACAGCTAGTTGCAGGGGACACGTGACCTGGAGTAGTTGAGACTGGTCCTTAGGTTCCTTGGGTCCCAGCAAATGTTCATGCTGGTCACATCTTCAGGTTTCTCTTTTTTTCAGTTTCACCAGCAACTGGTATAGGACCTACATAAATAAGGTGCTTAGGAGGTGTTTCCTGAATGAGTGGAGGAGCATGTTTGAATGCATAATACATTCTCTTTCTTTTCAGTTCTAGCCTTGTTAGTTGAGGGGGATGATACAAGTAAATCTGGAAAATGTTTCATTATTCTTTTTATTCTAATATGTAATCCAATATTAACATTATTTAAATTCTGGGTCACTAGCTCTCAAACTTTTTGGTCTCAGAACTTCTTTTCATTCTTAAAAATTAAGAACCCCCAAAGAGGTTTTGCTTATGTAGGTTATAGATTGGATTTGAATCCTGCTCTGCTACTATTGTTTGACATTAAAACTGAGATTGAATGCCACATGCAGGGTTTGTTAAATTTAAAAATAAATAAATGAGGCAGGCACGGTGGCTCACACCTGTAATCCCAGCACTTTGGGAAGCCAAGGTGGGTGGATCACCTGAGGTCAGGAGTTTGAGACTAGCCTTGCCAAAAAATGGTGAAACCCCATCTCTACTAAAAATACAGAAAAAAAAAAAAAAAAAGAAAAAGCCTGATGTAGTGGCGCATGCCTGTAGTCCCAGCTACTTGGGAGGCTGAGACAGGAGAATTGCTTGAACCCAAGAGGCAGAGGTTGCAGTGGGCGGAGATCACGCCATTGCACTCCAGCCTGGGTGACAAGAGTGAAACTCCGTCTCAAAAAAATAAATAAAATAAATAAGTAAATGAATTAATTTAAAAAAACAGAAATTTTAAAGATATTTACTTATTAATTTTCAATTAGTAATAAACCTATTGCATATTAACATAAAACATCATTTTATGAAAAATAAATATACTTTCCAAAACCAAAATATTTAGTTAGAAAAAATGGTATTGCTTTATGGTTTTGCAAATTTCTAATGTTTCCCTTAAACAGGAGACAATTTGACTCGGATATCTGCTTCTGTATTCAGTCTATTGTAATCTATTGTTTATGTTGAGGTATTAAAAAGAAAAGAAGGCCTGCACTTTGGGAGGCCAGGGAACGTGGATTGCTTGAGCCCAGGAGTTGGCGAAACCCCATCTCTACAAAAAACACAAAAAAATTAGCTGGGCGTGATGGTGTAAGCCTGTAGTCCCAGCTCCCCGGGAGGCTGAGGTGGGAGGATCACCTAAGCCTGGGAGGTAGAGGATACAGTGAGATCACACCACTGCACTCCAGCCTGGGTGATAGAGTGAGACCCTGTCTCAAAATAAAAAAGAAAGGAGAAGGAAGAAGGAAAAAGGAAGAAGGAAGAAGGAAAAGGAGGAGAAGGGAGAAGGAAAAAGGAAGAAGGAAGAAGGAGAAGGAGGAGAAGGAAGAAAGGAGAGGAAGGGAGAGAGGGAGGGAGAGAAGGGCCTCACCGAGAGATGTAGTTGGAAAAGGGAGGTCCTCCCAAACTCCCTAAAAGGCTCTCAGGAATCCCCCATGATCCAAGGATCACACTTTAAGAAATGCTAGTCTAGGTCGTTACCTATATTGTCTCATTTAGTGTCATTATTTCTAGCATCTCAGAACATCTATTTCATGATTCTGGCACACTGAGAGGTGCCATAGTGAAATTATTAAGAAAAAAAAAATCCAGCAACCAAGGAAGGTTACAACCTTTTAGAATAACTGAGGCTTTTCTTTTTCAAGAAGCTTCAGTAATGTGAATTATTTTTTATTTTTGATTACATCTTCTTAGTATTTATTTTATTGTGGCAGAGTGCATGTAACATAAAATTTATGATTAGTAACATTTAGTATATAGAGACAATGTTGTGCAACCATCATCACTATCTAGTTTTAGAACACTTTCATCAGTCCAAAAGGAAACTCTGCCTCTTAGTTTTTTTGTGTTGCTATAAAAAAAAAAACTGAGCCTAAGTAGTTTATAAAGAAAAGCAGTTTATTTGGCTCACAGTTCTGCAGGCTGTATAAAAAGCATGACACGGGCTTCTGTTTCTGGTGAGGGCTCAGGAAGCTTCCACTGTGGCAGAAGGCAAAGGAGAGCCAGCATCCCATGGCAAGAGAGGAAGGAACCAGGTGAGGAGGAAGGTGCTAGGCTTTTTTAAAAACAGTTAGTTCTTGTGGGAACTAATAGAGTGAGAACTCACTAATTACCAGGGAGATGTCACCAAGTATTCATGAGGGATCTGGCCACATGACCAAAACACCTCCAACTAAGCCCTACCTCCAACATTGGGGATCAAATTTCAACATGAGATTTGGAGGGGGCACATATCCAAACTATATCTAGTCTATTAAGATATTCTATATTACATTCTATCTGTATCTATTAAGTAGTCACTCCCCAATCTCTTCCTCATCCCAGCTCTTGGCAACCACTAATCTGCTTTTTGTCTCTATGTTTGCCAACTATGGATATTTCATATATATAGAATATGAACTATGTAGCCTTTTGTGTCTGGCTTCTTTTGCTTAGCATGATGTTCTCAAGATTCACCCATGTTGTAATATGTATGAGTACTTCATTCCTTTTAATGGCCAAGTAATATTTCATTGTATGGATTGACCACATGATGTTTATCCATTCATTTGTTGATGAATATTTGAGTTGTTTTCACTTTTCGGCCACTGTGAACAGTGCTGCTGTGAACATTTGTGCACAAATTTTTGTTTGAACATCTGTTTCTGTGTTTTTGGCTGTAAACCCAGGAGAAGAATTGCTGGACCATATGGCACTTCTGTTTTTTAGTTATTACAGGACTTCTTAGTCTTTTTTAAAATCAGTTTTGTTTTGTGTATCTGCAACCTCAGGGCCGTAAGGGTGAAGCAGGGTGAGGAGGAAAAGCAAAAGCATACAATTAATTAGTCTGAAAAAGGATTTATTTTCAACATCATACTACCATTATTGTGCCTAACAAAATTAACAGTATGTATTCTTTTTATTAAACAGGGAACGCAACTTCCAGCAGCCACAAGGAATGCTGCTACTCAGGTACCAACCGAAACAAGCTCCTCCACAGAAGGTTTGGTGTAGGTTTTGTGCCGTGATGGGGAAACTGCAAAGCAAACTCAAACACAGCACTTACAAATACAGGTACAGCAATCCTCCCCTGGGAGCCCAGGTTTTATCATGCCCCATTAAAACTCTCCACTAAAGGAAGAGAAGACCCAGGGTGAATGTTGATGGCCTTCCCTGAATAGTTTAGTGTGTTTTCTTTTGGATAAGAAACAGTCAGGGCTGGGTGTGCTGTCTCACGCCTGTAATCCCAGCACTTTGGGAGCCCGAGGTGGACAGATTGCTTGAGGTCAGTTGTTCGAGACCAGCCTTGGCAACATGGCAAAACCCTATCTCTACAAAAAATACAAAAATTAGCTGGGCATGATGGCATGAGCCTATAGTCCCAGCTACGTGGGAAGCTGAGGTGGGAAGATTGCTGGAGCCCAGGAAGTGAAGGCTGCAGTGAGCCATGTGTGCCACTGCACTCCAGCCTGGGCAACAGAGTGAGACCCTGTCTCAAAAGAAAGAAACAGTTGGCCGGGCGCGGTGGCTCAAGCCTGTAATCCCAGCACTTTGGGAGGTCGAGACGGGCGGATCACGAGGTCAGGAGATCGAGACCATTCTGGCTAACACAGTGAAACCCCGTCTCTACTAAAAATACAAAAACTTAGCCGGGCGAGGTGGCAGGCGCCTGTAGTCCCAGCTACTCGGGAGGCTGAGGCAGGAGAATGGCGTAAACCCGGGAGGCGGAGCTTGCAGTGAGCTGAGATCCGGCCACTGCACTCCAGCCTGGGTGACAGAGCGAGACTCCATCTCAAAAAAAAAAAAAGAAAGAAACAGTCAATTTATTAGCTAGTGGCTGCACCCATACACAGAGGGGCCTAAATCTTTAGGATTAATTGCTAGTGTGAGCAAAGAAAGACTCCTGGCTTCTTGGCTTCAGGATCCCCCTTTATCAGATTCCAATCCTTCAGTCATTCTGCACATTTTCAGAATAAATAATACCATTGCTGACAATGTCAGTGGGTCTCCCTTCTCTTCTCCTTTTTAAATATTCCTCCTTAGTCTGGCCTGAATTGCCTTCTTAACCCACATTCTTCTCCCTACCCCACCACACCCCTATCCATTCCCATGCCATTGGGTCTCTCATTTTCTATACTCTTTTTAGCAGGCCTGATGAAATTATAGAAGAGAGAATTCAGACTAAAGCTTTTCAAGAGTATAGCCCAGCTCACATGGATACCGTCTCTGTCGTTGCTGCTTTGAACTCAGATGTTTGTGTCTCTGGAGGGAAAGATAAGGTGGGGTTTGCAGTGTTTCCTGGGAAACGAACTTTATTGCAGGGAAAGGAAGATATTTTGAAAGGAAGTCTAGGGTTTGCATTTCTGGAGCAGGGTTGATGAGTATAAAAATATGAGCTTTAGAGTTAGGAAGACTGGGTTTAAATCCCTGCTTGGCCACTACCCATTCGTTTGGACAAGTCTTTAAATTTTTTTGAGCTTCAGTCTTATCTGTTAAGTGGGAATAATAATGCTACCTCACAGGTGGTTATAAAGATTAAATCAAAGAACGTAGGTGAGATCCTTAACACTGTGCCTGACCACCCACATGCTTTCTATAAATGGCAGAGATCATACTTCCCACCAATGCCATGTTACACCTACATGGAGACATAGGAGTTAATTGTCAGCAAAAGGAACTTTCTAATCTCTTCTTTTATGCTCTTTACACTGATATGCATTATGATTCCTCCTGTGTTTTTGTCCTCTTTCCTCCCTTTCTCGCATTTCTCTCCTTCATATTTGGATCTATCATAGCACTCACACCTGGGATACTGGTAGCACAACTGCTAATTCTTTTTGTAGTGAATAATACTAATAATGGGCCGGGTGTGGCGGCTCACACCTATAATCCCAGCACTTTGGGAGGCCATGGCAGGTGGATCACTTGAGGATAGGAGCTGAAGACCAGCCTGGACAACATGGCGAAACCCCGTCTCTACTAAAAATACAAAAATTAGGGGGGGCATGGTGGCACATGCCTGTAATCCTAGCTACTTGGGAGGCTGAGGCTCAAGAATTGCTTGAACCTGGGAGGTGGAGGTTGCAGTAAGCTGAGATCGGGCCACCGTACTCCAGCCTGGGTGGCAGAGCAAGACTCTGTCTCAAAAAATAATAATAATAATGTCTCTCATTTTCAATAGCCTTTTAGAGTCTTCAAATTCCATTTGCATACTGTATTCCACTGGTTCTAAGATGCATGTTTTCACATTTTATTTTATTATTATTATTATTATTATTTTTTTTTTTTTTTGAGAGGGAGTTTTGCCCTTGTTGTCCAGGCTGGAGTGCAATGGCTCGATCTTGGCTCACCTCAACCTCCGCCTCCTGGGTTCAAGCGATTCTTGAGCCTCAGCTTCCCGAGTAGCTGGGATTACAGGCATGTGCCACCACACCTGGCTAATTTTGTATTTTTTTTTAGTAGAGATGGGGTTTCTCCATATTGGTCAGGCTGGTCTCGAACTCCCGACCTCAGGTGATCCGCCTGCCTTGGCCTCCCGAAGTGCTGGGATTACAGGCATGAGCCACCATGCCTGGCCCTGTTTTCACATTGTAACACTTCTTAAATCAGGATGCATCTAAGTATCCTAATTTAATTGGCAGTATTTTGTCTTAAAATCTAGGCCGGGCAGGGTGGCTCACTGCAGTCTCCACCTCCTGGGTTCAAGCGATTCTGCTGCCTCAGCCTCCTGAGTAGCTGGGATTATGGGCATGTGCCACCATGCCTGTCTTATTTTGTATTTTTAGTAGAGATGGGGTTTCTCCATGTTGGTCAGTCTGGTCTCTGACTCCCGACCTCAGGTGATCTGCCCACCTCAGCCTCCCAAAGTGCTGGATTATAGGCATGAGCCACTGTGCCCAGCTTGAAATGGTAAATTTTTTTAAAAAGCACCACAACAAAAATATACAGCGCAGTAGGAAAACAAATCTAACCCTATGTGGAATTCTCCTTCACCATCTACAGCCAGAACCTCCAGTGGAATCAGTTCTCCTTGGGGAATGTTAGCCCAAACCCATCAGTAAGTTTAGAGCAGTGGTCTAGTGTGAGAGGGAGAGAGAGAGAACCACCAGGAGGAAAGAAAAGAAACTCAAAGGAGGGGCACATGAGGAGGGATGGCCACAACAGGGAGCCCCTAATGCTTTGAGCAAGTCCCTGAACAGAGAGGGAGTGAGTGAAGAGGGAGAAAGTAAGGTGGGAATGCAGTAGAGGCTAGTGTCACTTTAACAAGAATTGAGTAATGAAACTAAAATCTTCACTCTCTTCAGACAGTTGTGGCCTATAATTGGAAAACTGGAAATGTGGTGAAAAGGTTCAAAGGACATGAACATGAGATCACCAAGGTAATTGTCAAATGATTATTATGAAGGCAATCTGGAACTGAATAAAGGATAGCTAATAGTTCTAGATATTAAGGGTGACTGAATCTTTGATCTTAAGGAAAAATGCAAAGGCTTTGTTTGATGCTGTGAAGTCCTACTTCAGGAGAAAGAGAGCAAACCATTCACTTAGTTGTTGTTACAGGCATATCGAACACAGTTTTTCTTTTGTCATTAAGCCCTTAATAGCACAGGTAGTAAACAGAACACAGCTGATAACAACTCTCTCTGACCTATCCTGACTCAGCAGGTACAGTACTGAAGGCTTACCCTGTGCTTACCATAGCTAGGAAAATGACAAAATCCCTGTGCTCAGCAACCTTTTAGTCTAGTTGGGGACATTTAATGAACATTCAATAACAATGAAATAAAAATTAATTTGTTAGATAGCATTACAGACCAGAGTGAGCTTCCAGCAAAAATGATAGAGAATGCCAGTTTATATATGCTCTGAAGTCCACCTAAATGAACCAAAAATTAAGATACACACTTCTTTTATAATGAAACTAGGCATCAGCCACAATCCTATAGCACAGATATGATAGTTGCTCGCCAGATACGTTGTGTTCTGAACTAGACTGATAGGGAACACCATGCTCTATTCACTTATCCCCAGATATTTGACAGAGTGCAGATTTCACTAAAAGAGCTGGTCCTGAATGGTCCTCCCAACAGCCCTTTATTTAGAAAGATGAGGACTAAGGATATAGATTGTTTACCAGTAAAACAAGACAATGTAACAAAATCGAGGCTGCTGCCAGCTTGCTTCTCTTTCTTCCAGTCACCCTAAAATGCCGAAGGACTGGCCAGGCATAGTGGCTCATCCCTGTAATCCCAGTGCTTTGGGAGGCTGAGGCAGGAGTATCATTTGAGGCCAGGAATGTTTTGTTTTGTTTTTTGAGATAGAGTCTCACTCTCTCTGTTGTGTGATCACAGCTCACTGCAACCTCCATCTCGCGGGTTCAAGCTATTCTTCTGCCTTGGCTGCCCAAGTAACTGGGATTACAGACGTGTGCCACCACACCCGGCTAATTTTTATATTTTTAGTAGAGATGGGGTTTTGCTCGGTTGGCCAGGCTGGTCTCCAACCCCTGGCCTCAAGTGATTTGCCCGAGGCCGGGAGTTTAAAACCAGCCTGGGACATAGCAAGACCCCATCTTGACAAAAAATAAAAAAAACTAGCTAGGCATGTTGGTGCACACCTGTAGTCTCAGCTATTTAGACAAGACATAATCAGCCATCAGTATTCAGGATGACAAATCAAGACATAATCAACCATCAATATTCAGCATGACAAATGAAGTTATAGTAGACCTTGGACTGAAAGGAAAGAAAGTGAGAGAGAATTGACTGTGTGTGAGTGTGTGTATGTGTGTGCACTTGTGTGTGTGTGCACATGCATATGTGTGTGTGTGTGTGTGTGCATGTAATACTTGAGCATGTATCAAGCCTTGTTGAATTTACTGCCAAAGATTGGACTTGCCCTCATTCAAAGATGAAAAGATTAATAAGCAGAAAGGATCCAAAGTGAGGTCTATATGCCTAGATTTTTTTTAAATACACATATAACAAGCTAATGTCAGATGAAAATACACTTTGAAGGAAGAACTACTCAAGAAGCAAAGATAAAATTTGATTAATGCCTTTTTACTCTATAAATTAAGAGAACATATACTCTATGAAACAATAAGTTGAAAAAATAAGACAAGCCAGGTGCAGTGGCTCCTGCCTGTAATTCTGGCACTTTGGCAAGGCAAGGCAGGAGGATTGCTTGAGCCCAAGAATTTGAGACCAGCCCAGGCAGCATAATGAGACCCCATCTCCACAAAAAATTAAAAAATTAGTTGGATGTGGTGGTGCGCGCCTATAGTCCCAGCTACTCAGGAAGCTGATGTGGGAGGATCATTTGAGTCCATGAAGTTGAATTCATAGTGAGCTGTGATTATTTCACTGGTTAAAATTTTTTAGTAGAGTGGGGTTTCTCTTCATGTTGGTCAGGGCGCTGGTCTTGAAACTCAGGGCATGCCCGACCTCTCAGGTGATCCGCC